AATAGTACTAAAGAGTTCTCGCGTTCAAAAGTATCAGAAACACTATTAAAAAGAAATGGTTATTAAATCTAACAATAAGTAACGGACACTTAACGACGTTTCGATTCTCATTAACTCGAGACAATAATCACCACTGCAACGGAACAGTTCTCTACGTAAATATCTCGCAAACGACACGTAAAGGGACGAATTCGACTGTATAGGATTAGAACTAGCGAAGCAACAAGGTTTAATACGCTGTTGCGTGCGATGTAAATCTGTAGATAGCGAGGAGAAATCGGGCTATAAAACGTGTGCGTGTGCGTCTGCGTGTACATAGTGGCTAGTACTTTATCTGTGTTCTAATATTTATCCAAACTGGTAGTCCGTTATCCTTCATCCTAGCTTAAGCGACCGTAACGTTAATCGACTAGTATAAACTACTCCTTAGAACTTAGATTTAATTAGTTCATTGATCAAATCTTCGATCCAATGGATCGTGATCATACAGCTGAACATCAAAGATAGTTAAGGCAATTGAATCGTGTGCATCTAGTCAACAGGGTTTAGAGTGCGTCAGGTATGGGTGCTCTGCGTAATAATATAAACAATTTAGGTGAGACTAAAAATGATTCGGTAAAAAATTATAGAAGACGCACGTATAGATTCTAGTCAAGGGATACACATAGCCTGTATAACAATCATTGCCAAATAATAATTGTATCTACGTATCTAGTCAAAGACAACTCACTGTGTAAAATGTATTCTATTAAATATTAGCTAAATGTAAATTGGTAAATTGTAATCGAAGCATGTCTTTCGAATTTTTATAGCCGTAGCATAAGTTACTGTTAATTCGGTATCCTATAGCTTATTACTTGTCGATTCGTGTTTCGTTCTTTTTAATTTGAAATATTCTCAGTGTCATTTTATATCACCGACGCAATTTTTAGTTCGATTTCATTTTCAGTTTCTCATTATCCTTCATTCCGCTCTCGATCAGAGCCGAGAATGAAAATGAGTACGATCTAGTCGGAGAACAGAGCGAAGTCTTTTATGCTGTTGTATAGAGGACGATTATAAGAATGTGTATTTATAGGAATAGTGTCTACCTGTAAATCGTTCTAATTAAGCACAGAAAACACTACGTAATCGCATGTTATTGACCGGTTGAAAATGGAACACCGTGAAAAGATAAACGTACTTACACATATCTAAATAGGTGAACGCGGTGAATGTTAAGCGAACGAAATCTAGTCGGAACTAGTCGAGGTTTATCTCTGAAAAATACATGAATAGAATGTTAACGCGGTGTCTACCGGAATTTTATCTGACAAACTAGCTGTAGGTATTCTGCTGCAACCGATTGTCGTTAATTTATGTACGAGCGTAACGCGATAGTTGACGAACCAGTTGCATACCGTATTTTAATTGTTAAAAAAGAAATCGTCACTCGTTTGATATCAGATTTTCCACTCTATTAAGACCTCGGTTGTCCGTTATTTTTTGTATGTACCCGCGAAATCAGGAAGGAAACGCTTGGGAGCATCGAGGATTATAAATGGTGCTGTTACGCCATTTACGATAGCGACAACAGGTTGCGTGTTCCTTTTGAGCGAATCAGAACGGGCTCCGTGTTCCGCGTTATAAAATAAGCATTATATCGTTTCTATCAGTGTTTCACTTACGTACGAATAAAAAGATCGCACGGTCGAAGATGTAAAAATTGAATGATCGCGGAACGGGGCGAAGGGTTTGTAACAGTCTCGTCTGCACCCTGTATTTATAAAACTGTATAATAATAACGACCCGTTTATGTGAGCTTGTGCCGCACACTTAGAGATAGCCGGTTATAGACAATTACGTGTCACGTAGGTTAATCTCCATATTCTGTTCATATGTGTATATAACAATTTTCGTTTCCCGCAAATATACATATCTCGTGATTTAGTCACCTTGTTCAATGATCCTTTATTTTATATCTATTCGTCGAATTAGTGATCGCGATTCTTTGAGACCGATTGATTCGAAGGGAAACTGCGCGAAGGAGTGGTGGGCGTACAGTGATCGAAGTCAGTATTGTCCAGGGATAATGTCCTTTCACGTTACTTGGCCGCGTGTGCCGGCATAATGCCATGGCGTAGAATCCATAAAGGAGGGATTGCTGGCTCTGTAATCTGCGCGGTGCTTTTGTGCCCGCCGAATGAAGAGATCTGTCGTTTCGACAGGGACCATTAAATCCATGAAGCTGATTTTTCGAAATTCCCATGTGCAGCTCTCTGTCTGATGTAAGCCTACGAGAATTCTTTTATATCCTTAATAAGACAGGATACATTTTTTCAGTGATCACTAATAATGTTTTATCTAAAAATATTTAGCCATAACTCTTTATTCGATTAAATGGATATTTCCTTTTATAAAAGAAACCTTTATTGGGGAATAGAATGCTTCTTTTCCTCTTTGAGGGGTAGGAATTCGATTTTCGGTGCATTTCTGTCATAGGTGCCCAAGGGTTCACACTGGTATTCGAAAGATCTACTTATTGTTAGTCTCCCTTGCTCTCTCCACTGTTTTCAGGCTACCGAGATCGATCGAGGCACGCGATTCGGAAAAGGTTAGGCGCACCTCCTAGTGCACCAAGCAATTTCGCAATTTTTCCTCTTCGCGACTTTGTCATCTTCGCTTTGCTATTCCGCGGGCCGAAATACAATTTGCCCGGCGCGACGGATAAGAAAGCGTTCGAGGGAGATGCACGGAGGGAGAGAGGGCCGGCCTTGAGTGTAGCAGCGTACTAGCGTAGTCCTTTATCGACGTGTCTTCGAAGAATTTTCAGAATCGCTTTCTCCCGTGGGAAACTCCCCTTTGCCGTGTCGCACGTATCTATCTTCGTCCCTGTGCCCGTGCGTGTCTCTCGCGTTTGTTTCCGTGGCGAGGAACATTTTTCAAACTTACGTATTGCACTTCTTTCGATAATTTATATGGCACAGAATTTTGTAATCGATGTATAAATCGAACGATGCGCGTTTATACGTCGAAATAGAAACCGTTACTACGTCGGGGAGAGGATAGGTAAACCAGGTTTGAAAAATCGTATTCGAAGGGTGGTGGTGCAAATAGAACATGGTGCTTTTATCATTAGGTAAACAATGGTGACCATAGCGTGTAGAGAGCGTACCTCAATATCGCCTCGATATCTCGTAAACGACAAACGTCTGTGGGATAATAACTGTAAAAGCTTTGGGAAAGCACGTCTGTTGCTCCTCCTCCGCGTTGGATTTCTTGGAAGAGAAATTTTCGCCTCGAGCATTCCGAACATCTCCTTGATTCCCGACAAATCCTTTACGATAATATATATTGCGCAACACGATATATCGAGCGTTGAGCATCTCTTCGAATATCTTTTAAGAGGTGTCCAGAAAAATTTGATGACTGGGTAGGAGTGAAAAGTTTCAAATGAAATCATCCGGCGCAAATGAAATTCGTCATACGGTTAAATTCGCTTTCAGGGAGGGCGCCTTTGGTTTTATTTTATCTCGGGGTATTAGAGCACGATTGCCTCGGAAGCCGAAAATTGCTTTGACCCGACCCCACGGACGTCTCCGTTCGTCACCAGCCTTCATCCGTCCTTCGACCGTTCTCGAAACATCCCCGTGGATCAATTGGCTCCTATACTCCCGGTACTCTACGGGACGTTAAGGGAAAATCGTGACCCTCTACGATCCATTCGAGCCCCAATGCCTACTGTAAACTATCATAGTTCTGGTTGTGTCAATTTGTGGAATCTTCGTGTGAACGTTTTGAAACATTTTATTGAAGCATATTGTACAATCGTATTTGTCAAATACATAAATGATTAATTCCCAAGGAATTATTTACAACGAACGTCTTCACGAGAAAAGATTGCTGTGAGTGTGTAAAATTAATTATTAAATACGAAGCTGACCGAGAAACGTAATACGATATGTCAGAATGTCATCGAACAATTTTGGGTGTATTAAAACGCCTAAATGAAGTTCGCATCTCGATGAAGAAGTTTCCTCGACGGAGAGACGTCGAAGATCCCCGTGTGTCCCACATAGCGGATCTGAGATTACGGTGATATTTATTTCTTCCTTTGTATAGACTCTCTTGCAGCGGCAGAACGAAACTGGTGTGGGCACATATATCAAAGAACTCCCGGGAATTAGATATCGTAGACTCGGTGTAAGATGCTTTTCCACGGCTGATCCTCCTTTACGTGAATGCGGATTTCTCCGATGCTTGGATCCAACCACCGTCCTCCCTCCTCTCCCTTCTCTGTTCTTTTCACCCCGTCTTCTGTCTCTCTCTCTCTCTCTCTTTCTCTCGATCCGCTACTCACGTGCACCCCGGTAATTATGCTCCGTGATTTTTTATTCGATATTCGTACATCTGCTCGCAAAAGTATTT